CTGATATAGTACTAATAACAGAAACATGGTGTTTGGGATACTGGGTTATAACAACTTTCGTAATGATTGCTTTTATGGTAGAGGTGGTGGCTGTCTAATCTACGTCAAAGACATATACTGTTTTTTCTCTGGATGAACCACTCCTACAGAAACTTCCTGATTCGGTGTGGATTGCCATTTCTATTAATCCAACAAATCTTCGCGTAGGTTGCATTTACAGACCCCCATCGTTTGTACCCACCATAACCGATGACTTGTTGGACACTTTCTCTCTTATTGCTGATCTCTCATACACTAATAAAATAATCGCTGAGGATTTTAGTATGCCCGAAATCTCATGGTCCCTTAACAATAAACCACAAAAATACAATGCTTTTATATCTTCTCTTGGTCGATTGGGACTGGTACAGCACGTCAAAGAGCCTACTCGTTTTGGTAACATACTTGGTCTAATATTTACTATGTGATACGTGTCCACATACATCTGTGACAGATTGCCGGGTAGTGATTATAACATCGTTGGTTGTTCTTTCCAAATTCTTTCTAAACCGATAGAATGAGTGATCAATTACCGCCCATTCTTATGTGTAAATTGGTCAATTTTCTCGTTTCTTATAAGGTCTTCAAATTGGGATCCATTTTTCTTAGCACAGGATGTTCAAGTTGTACGTGACGATTTCTGCCACCGTGCTCAGCTTTGTGTTGAAGTTGTGGCTTCAGAACGTTCTAAGAAGCTGAAAATGATTGCTGCACCTGCAGGCATATCGAAAAAGGCAGCCACTAAACTTCATAAAATAAAGAAAAAGTTTAGGAAAACAAACGATTTTACTCTGCTGATGCTCCACACCAGATTGCATACAGCGTTATACCAAGGTCACCACAAAATGCTATGCTCTGAGGAGGTAATGGTACTGCGCTAACGTGTAGGCTGCATCTCAAAAGTTTTGGACTGTAGGTAGAAAATCAAGTTATATAAATTCGATTGTAAACTCTGATGGAATTGCCATAACCAATCGCGCAATCATATGTTCGATCTCCAATGACTACTTTATGTCTACTTATAGCATTAATGCGAAAGATCCTCAAGCTGATACACAGAGGCAGTAACACACTCAGAACTTGTAAGTAGTAGGCGGATTTATTAGGCTTTCGTGTAGATTCATCGCAGTTAGACACAAGCAGACAGTCACCAGCAATCCAGGAAAGCGCTAGACGGTCGTTTTGTCCAATTGAGACTCTTCAGTTGCGCGCACCCTCCTAATCCTGCCGGATTCGAACCCACGACCTTACTCTTGCGGGTCATCGACTTATGTCACTGAACCATGGGCGACAGCAGTGAACCGCTATGACTGATATCTAACTGCGATATAGCGCGGCTCATCCTTCGCTGTCTTGCTTCCATGCCACCTCGATTGGTGGCGGCTTGCAAAGGAAGTTGTTGCGCTCGTCCATGGTGCAATGACATCCGTCGCTGACTCGCAAGAGTAAGGTCGTGGGTTCGAATCAGGTAGGATTCGGCGGATGCACGCTATTGACAAGTCCTAATAGGACGAGACGGCCGTCTGGTGCTTTACTGGATGTGTGGAGGCTGTTTGTCCGTGTCAAACTGCGACGAATTTACACAAAATTACTCCAAACTGTTGAATTCACACTTATTGACAAATGTCGCCCACTCTGATTAGTTCGGCCATCATGTTCACCAGGCCCTGACAACATCCCGCCAATACTAGTCAAGCCCGGAGGTCCAAACATTCCCCTATTGTTACTTAATGTATTTACACTTACCATGCTCAATGGGGAGTATCCTATACAATGGGGACAATCAACTATAATACCAAGACACGAAAGCGGATCTATGCAAGATGTAAAAAATTACCGCCTAATCCACCACACACCTATTATCTCCAGAATCATGGAGAGGATAGTTAAATAATGCATAATAGAATATTTTAGTTCTATGAGTCTTCTTAGTAAACATCAGACGGTTTTTTGGAAGTTAGGTCATGCACTACCTGCCAGTTAGATTATCTTGGTTATGTGACTAGTGCAATGGACGCCGAAAGTGTCATCACTATAATATTTCTTGATATCTAAAAGGCTGTTGACCGTGTCCCACACAATTTATTGTTGCGGAAGCTTATGCCCCATGGTATCACAAATTCGCTTCCAGAGTGGATGTCTTCCTACCTCCGGGATAGAAAGCAAGTAGTCAAAATTGGTAACTATACATCTGAAGAAACCTCAACCTCTGGTAGAGGGATTCAAGGAAGCTTGCAAGGCCCGCCTTTATTCTTAATCTAATGACCTCCTTGATAAAATTTTCTATGGGAAGCCATTCCTCTTCGGTGATGATGTTACAATCGTGTATTGTTTCGCCCCTGGAAAACGTAGCCCTAATTTAGCCCGTATTCCGTCTGACTTGTCCGCATTGGAGCACTTGAGTGACTCCTGGAAGTTGCACTTTGCCACTGACTAGTGTAATCTATTGTACCATGGCTGTCACTCTTCTCCGAACATCCTAAACTTAAACGATACCCCAGTTCCTGTGGATGGCGCAATCCAAGAATTTGGTCTAAGATATTCTGCCTCATTTAACTTTTTAGAGCATGTTAATTTCTTGCAGGCTTCTGTCAGAAAAGTGACCGTCTATATAAGCTGAACTCTTATCCGGAGGGATTCCCGACTTCAAGCCTTTGAAATATGCATTAATCTGAAGCTTGAGTACTGTACGATAGTGCACAGTAATCTGAGAAAAGTGGATATTATAGCACTAGAAAACATTCAGCGAACATTCACAATGAGGTTTTTGAACATGCCTAACACTATGGCATACCGTGAGCGTTTCTAGGCTCTAAAACTGGAGCCGCTATGGCTGCGCAGTAATTCTGTGCCTTCTATACCATTTACTCTTGGGATTAAGCTTCAATGCTTAACCCCAACGCGAGTTTCAGACTCGTATGCGCTATGAAATAAGAAATAGAAAGCGCACATTGCAAATACAAAAGTCTCGCCCCAAGCTCCGCTTAAATTTTTTCTCCGTAAAACACGCATTAATATGGAGCAAGCTTCCATCGAGTATTAGAAACTGTACTGCCTGTCCGCAATTCACGCGCATGATTAATATTCATCAGACTGTTTCAAATATCTGGTCAACACAGCCAAACGATGATTCTAGATGATTTGTATGAGAAAGGTCTTGAATACACTAAAAAGTCGCCATATCCCTATTTAAAACAGTTAGTTCCCTTCAGAAATTTGAAAAGCACGGTAAGAAGACGAAAACTGGTAGATGCATGCATTTCGTATTGTCTGCTTAGTACCATTAACAATAACCGGTATGCAATTATATACTTAAATATGCGTGTGACCGAATAATCATGAGGCGAAAAATGAATGACGGAAGTTCCACCCCATTGTCCACGGTAGTCTTAAGCTGACAAATAATTGCTTTTGAACACACAGAGCCAGCTTCATCCGGCTTATCGTAACCGCCTCGGCGAACCGGAGGAAGCGGGGATTAGGGTGACGTAATACAAGTGTGAACGCTGATCCAAGCTCTATTCGGTGACGCGTAGTCAGTAGGTGCTTACCTATTGAGGAAGCTGGCGGCTTGCGCAAGCACGGAACTTCAGTGGGACAAGGATGTTGGTCGATTTCACGTTGAACCCACCTTGGTCCGTATTCCTTTATTCTTAATATGATAATGTCACTTAAAATAGTTGAACACTTGAGTATGTATCTATAAAGGAGCTTACTACTATCAATTCTGTTTTCTCCTCTGATGCACTGATTCGAAGATGCACTACGCCTTTCAAGCTGGTGTCTCGGTACCATCTTCGTCACTCGCCAAGATTTTCCATCAAATTGTGATTGGCCTATCGGAAAGCAATTATATTCATTAGTATGCATTTTTCATTCCTCATACGTTATATTTCCCCTTGTTTCATTGTTGGCTATGACTGGGCTGATCTCTTTTGGTGACGGATTACAGCTTCCAAACTAAACAAAATTATACCCATGCAAATCACACTGCTGCTGAATCGCTGGCTCATGACAAAAGAGTGCCATACTTGATTGATCCGCATGATGGAACGGGCTGAGGCTTCATGACCCATAATGTATGCATAAATTAGTCCTTATGAGAAAACAACATTTGGTACCCAGTTAATGGCCTATTTACTATTTTGCCACACCAGCACACAGCTAGTTGTGGCATGGAAGTGCCTGTGAAACCCCTCGAGAGAATACCCTGCGTGAAAGCACGTCCCCTGGGGACAGTTCTGTGGATGACGGCATTAGTTTACTTAACTTTCCGTGAAATCTACATTTATTATTGTTCCCAGTTTTTTAATCTCTCTACTATTCTCAAACTGTTAATCACTTCAAAATAACCATCTGGGAAGCATTGTACAAAACACGTCAAAGTAACTATAATATGCGATCAAGTTTTACAAGTTGATCAGACCATTCAATTGATCAGTGCCTCGCATTGTCGAGGAAAGAACGTTTATTTATATATTTATTTAAAAGCTGATCAAAACTGTTGTTGTTCGTGGAGTTTATCATACATTGAATACCGGGGATTAGGAATGCTTACCGGTGTTTCTAATGTCTCGCTGGTGCATCATTGTGGATGTGGATGTTTTCCCAGCGTCTAGGGGGTTAGGGGGGGGGGGTAATCAGTTGAGGACGATTGCTCACGTTAACGTTTTCTTCATTTTGTGTCGGCTATACGTGGGCACAAATCTTAACTTCACTGGCGAATGGAACCAGTTTTCGTGATCGAATGTATGACCCAATAAGCTTGGCAGTTCACAATCGGCTCGCCCCAATTCCATTAGGATCAATTAGGTTCCGAATACGATTTCACCGTAGTATTATATACGCTTTTTCAACTGCTACCACATACGTTATTGCCCGAATGATTACGAGCCTTTCGCCTCTAAATCGTCAAGAATACTTGGTAAGTGTAAGTCATTCAATTTGGATTAAAAACTTACCAGCTTTGCTGGCCGTGGTCTTCGACCACGATTTACCGGATGATTTGCTCATAGACGCGATGACAGATAGTCGACGAAGTTGTGCGTTGGGTCGATCACGTATGATGTGAATGTTTTCTTCGATTTCATCAAATAAATTATTCAGCAGGGACACTTCAGCTTTAAGCCAATCAGTGTCTGGAATATGTACGCATAAACATGATGTGAGGATTGCGGCTACCTTTGCATAACAGCGAATGCAAATATGTTGGTTGTGTTTTACCTTGTATTTCTGGATGCAGCTTAAGTAGCGAGAAATGAAAATAATGAGATTCTAACAGGAAATATGAAAACAAGTTAGTAAATTGTAATGGGGTCATCACAAGCAGTGGTGCAGAATTAGTGCGGTCTCTCACTTTCAGCATAGGGACTAACAATCTAACTCTAGGCATCTATTTCGTCGACCGATCAAAGAGTAGGGCGTGTAGAGCAAATCGTAATTCCATCAGCGTAAGCCTGATAATATATGATAAATAAAGAAACACTAGCATCCATTGCTGGATTTTGGAGTGTCCACGCCGTGCTTCGATTTTGACATGTAATCTCAATTGGGACTACGTTTTACTTTCAAGTAAACTTTTGCCAATTACGACACTGGAAAACATCGATGTACATATCTAGACCGATTCCTTAAGTAACTAAACTTCTCTTTTCAATAAATTTCATCAAGCATTTACAATTATAAAATAGAAAGATGAAACAGGATAGGCTGGTGAGGTGCGGCAGTAGTTGGCGAAAACAGAAAAAGGCAGAAACTGCTCGATAAATTGGTCGATCTACTCAGGCAGCAGTTACCACAGTGCACGTAAGCTGGCATAAACACATATTTACCCACGAGACGGAGCCCGCATTTTCCCCGACTGGTTGGATGGCTCAGCAATTACTGTTGTCAGCAAGTGGAGTAAAAGCCGTATGGAAGTATGTTGGCCCCAGGGTAGAAGGGGCGCTTGAACAAGCGCTTTCTGTTTGCATAGCTCGGGTTGTGCTATCTTGATTGCGATGGTTTCGGTCATCCATAACAATCGTTTTCTAATCACTTTGGGGCAACGTTTCGACACGACCTAAAATACTTTGAAAGCATCGGTAGTGCAAATTTGGTGTTCACTTTTGACTAGATGTTCTAGGATAGAACTTGCGATGCATGTGCCAGTACCTTCTTACAATGCCGTGTGACAGTGCTCCGCTATCCGTTTAGACAGACGCCTAGTTGTAGGTCCGATGTACTTCACACCACAGGTGCTCTGCTACGATGTGGAGTCACTTTTTACGAAGCTTTCGTTGTTAGAGGCGGTTAATTTTATTCGTGTTTGCTTAAACAAAAAGAGCGTAGCTGTGGGCATTCCGGTGCAGAAACTGAAGGAATTACTATTGGGGTGTATCTTCAACGGACAATTTTTATTTGATAGGATCTACTGTAGTCTACTTGACAGAGTCGTGATGGGATCTCCTCTTGGACCGTTGCTTGGTGACATTTTTCTTTCTATGCTTGAACATGGACGTGTAAAAGCTATCATCACTTCAGTTCATTTCCGTTGTCGATTTATGGATGACGCGTGTATCATATGTGATTCAGGGACTGATGTTCCCAGTCTGTTGAACCAGTTAAGCCGTGTATATATGTTGTTTAAGCTTACCGGTGAAATTTACAATGATGGTAAACTGGCCTGCTTAGACTATCTACTAAGGAGAAAGGAAGACGGCACGCTAGAAAGAAATGAGTTTCGGAAAGCGATGTGAGTAGGTCAATGCATGCGTTTTCTCAGATTTCTACCATTGAAGTACTTACAGTGAGGACAACATAAGGCCGTGGACACTAAAGTCAGGCGCCAAGAACATGGCTGAAGCGTTAGTTCGGTTTTTATAATGATAGTTTGACAGAGTGCAGGTTCCCACAAGGTGGGATCATGGGATAAGCAGTCCTACTCACCAAAGTGGCAAATGTGCGGAGCCCTTTAACTACCGTTTCATAACTCTCTTGCCGGTGCTATCCATATGTATGGAAGATAATACTGCGCAGCGCTGATGTGGTAGCTTGTGAGTAACAATATCCTAGTGTCACAGCAGCAGAGTTACGCCGAAATTGGCCCTAAACTACAAAGTTCCTGCTAGTCCGAGCAAACTAGACGGAATCAGCAATGTCCAATTGGGTGTCAATGTCTTCTAACTGAACTTAAGCGTTCGACAGCATGGACCACCGCATTCTGCACGTTTTGAAGCTATGGAATTACTGTCCCTGTCCTGGGTTGGATAAGCAAGTTTTGTAATCAAAGGCAGCTAAACGCGACAGTCCGCAGCTTAATTTTTGATCAGTTGTATTCCTGGTCTTCATCAACCATCATACCACCTACCACAGTCGAGCTTTCTATATTTTGCAGATGACGTCAAGGTCTGGCATGACGTTAAGACAGTGGACGATCACAAGGAACTGGAGAGAGATCTTGACCGAACTCATACGTGTTCCTCAGAAAACAAGCGCTATTTCAACGTGGCGAAATCCAAAGTTGTGAGCATGCAGCATCAGTGTACCTACGAACATCGACTTGGGGACCAGCAATTAGAACGTGCTTCTCAGGAAAGTGACATCAGAGCTCTTGCACAGGATGACCTTGGATGCTCGAAACAGGCCGAAAAGGCATCGAGAATAGCTGTAAAGCAGTTTTGCCTCTAGCGGAGAGCATTCGGATAGTTCGAATTGTGCATTGTTCCGGAACACTTAAACGCCTACGTCTGGTCTCGTGTGGTAAATGCCATCGCAGCGTGCCGTCCCTGGCGGAAATATGATGCTGATCCACCTGAAACTCAACGACTAAAAGCGATCAAATTCCTTGTGGGGATTGTTTTACCTCCCCTAACAAGGCAGACTGCAAGCACTTGGTCTGTACTGTGATGAGTAGTAGAGTCTGTGAGGAGATCCTCTCATGGTGTATCTAATGCTGGCGAACCCAGATCAGGAATTTTGCAATCCGCTGCAACCTGACCACAGTAGTAACCTGAGTAACTATCAGACCAAAAATGTCGCGGGAGATGGTAGACTTGAGTGTCAACGAAACTTTTCACCATTGGATTATACGGAACACACAAGGTTCTTCCAAATCATGTCATTTTTTACCTCTGTTACCATGTTCTTTGTCTGGTTCTCCCAGCCGCGTCAAGAGAAAGAACTCATACACCTAACGGCCGGCTTAAAAACTAACACAAACTTGACATCTATCAATGAACTCCTAACAATAAAAGCCCTTGGTTGCAGATCGTGCACTCCAAGCTTGTAGAGATAGGCATGTCTATGGCGCATGTGGACAATGTGGCACTTGTACACATTCAATGGCGATGCATTTCTAACGACCAATGCCAGACCTCATGGAGGTCGCGCTGGAGGATCTCGTGGTCGTTCATTCCCATGATGGCCGGCAAAATTTTAACATCATCTGTGGCAAGTAGAAATTTCGAGACGTAAGCTCTCACTAGATCGTTAATGAAAAATAAAAACAAGCCAGATACAAGTACAAAACCCTGCGCTGTGTCGCGCTCCACTGGAGAGACCGACACAACAGAGCCAGTGGCACACAAGAGGACCGAGCACAGCACGAGTGAAACGAATGTTCAGGAAAGCTCAATAATGTCATGCAACATGACTGAAATACATAAACCAAAAAACGATTAATGGCCGGCTACTAAACGACCGGCTTAAAAACTAACACAAACTTGACATATATCAATGAAATCCTAACAATAAAAGCCCTATCTTGCATGTACACAAACGCCCAAGGACTACTAAGCAAGTTGACCGAACTTAGAGAATTCCATGCCTCACAACCGCGAGACCTCATCGTGATTACAGTGACATGGTTAAACGCTGAGATAACCGACTCTGAGACCAATTTATCCGAAAGTCGCTGCTTGGAACGGATAAAACCCGAAGGGGTGACAGTGTGATTCTTTACTATAATACAAACCTTCGATGTGAAGTTATTGATCACCCAGAAACCCGAGCTCCCGATTCGCTTTAGTGTCGCATTTGGTTTCGAAACAAGGACACATGTCTACTAGCCTTGATTTATCGCCCACCAAACTCAACGTCGGAACTGGACTCCAAACTGAACCACGTTTCTCAGTTTGCTTTGAACAATTCCTACACTCACATTCTTATCGCTGGAGACTTTAACGTGCAGGACATAGAAACGCCGGCAACCGACGGTACACAGTTTAAGGCATTCTTGCAAGAGCTAATTGCTAGCCACCCTCATTACAACCACGTGACCTCTCACACCAGATTTCGAACTGCTAACAAGCCGTCCATACGGGATCTTGTGCTAACTAACGAAGAACGTATGGTTGACGGGATAGTTACAAGCACACCACTGGGTCGTAGGGATCATGTTACTCTAGTCTTTGACTATATATGCTATGCGGAGTACCCTGGAAAGGAGGATGATAAAGTGCATACTGTCACGCATTACAATGTGTTATCTATGCTTGTTAAGGATACATCTTGGACTTTCTTAACCGAATGCCAACCAGATGTTGCCTGGGAAACATTTACAAGGACGTTTAACACACTGGTGGCGCACGCATCGGAACAGAAGTCCTTCCAAGCCAAAAACAAGCATAATTCATTTCTGAGGAGCAGAACACGTAAATGTATGTCCCGGAGGGATTTGGCATGGCGAAATCACCAGGATTTCTTGAATGCCGAAACCTGGACCGCATACGTGACACATGGTAGCTTCTGTGTGAAATTGATCCGCGAAGACGAGGTCACTCATCAGCAGAAGTTAATGAAGCGATTCTGCACTAACCGCAAACTCCTGTACAGGCACGTTAACGGTCTCCGAAAGGTGAAGAGCGGCATTCCAGTACTAGTCTCGGCTGATGGGTGCCCGCGATCAGCAATGGGAGCAGCTGATCTCCTACGGCTTCATTACTCCCGAAATTTCCAACAGGTAACGAACCCAAATATTCTCCTCATTTCTAATACTCCACCATCTGGTTTAGAAAACATCAACTTCACTGCGGAAGCCGTGTTGAAGAAGTTGTTATGCTTGCGTATCCACAGTTCTCCCGGAGCTGACAACATCCGACCAAAGGCTCTGCAGGTGGTAGCTAGTGATCTAGCAGCACCACTGGCTATTTTCTATCACCGATGTCTAGAAGAGAAGCGTATTCCACCAGTATGGAAGCGACGGGTCATCACTCCTATCCATAAAGGAGGTAGCTGAACTGATCCTGCCAACTATCGTCCAACAACACCACTTCCCGTACTATCAAAAGTGATGCAACCAATCATCGCAGATGCACCGATGCAATACCTGGAAAGCCACAAATTAATAGCCTCAGGGCAACATGGCTTACGTCAAAAGCATTAGTGTAATACTAACCTATTAATTGCACGTGATAGCTGGACTGAAGCTGTTGATGATGGAGTGGGAGTGGACTTCTCAAATGCGTTTGATCGCTTATATCATGGAATTCTCCTTCAGAAGTTCCGGAATTACGGCATTGGCGACCCAATCCTAGGTTGGATTGGCAATTTTCTACGAGAACGACGGCTAGTGGTGAGAGTCCGTGAATCATTGTCTGATGCAATCGAGGTGGCATGTGGAGTACCTCACGGCTCGGTTCTTGGACCTCGTCCATTCTTGGTGTTCATTAGCGATTTGGCGAAGTCAATTGCCTCCGATTTCCTATTTTTTGCTGATGATATCAAGATATGGCAAAGGATCAGAGGACCGGAAAACCACGGACGGCTCCAGTGCGATCTTAACCCAGTTTCGAACTGGTCAATTCATAACGCCCTACCAGTCAACATAGACAAATGTCGCGTTGTACAATTACGCCATAAACATAACTACACATGTTTACTTTGGAGAAAGAGATTGCAGAATAGTTCCCGGGACCGCGACCTTGGTGTGATTGTACAGAGCGACCTCCACTGTTCAAAGCAGGCTGAGGTAGCTGCGAAAAGAGGCAACCAACACGTCGGCATACTGCGAAGGGCATTCGGAAGATTGGACCCATCAATCATCTCATGATGCACAATTCCTACGTACGCTCGCATGTTGAATACGCTATCCAAGCTTGGCAACCTTGGTTGAAGCGCGACCTAGAAGCGATAGAGGCGCCACAACGAAGAGCAACAAATTATGTAAAGGGCCTGCGCTATCACTCTTACCACCGAAGGCTGAAGTTGCTGGGAATTTTTAGCGGACGCTATCGAAGGCTGCGCGGCGATCTCATATTAGCATACCAGATATTGAGTGACCCCAACCACGTATGCCGCCATTTGCTGAAACTTAGCCACAACAAGCAGCTCAGGGGTAACTGCTTAAAGTTGAAGGAACAATACAGCCGTCTAGAGTGTCGACGGAATTACTTTTCCCTTCGGGTTTGCCAACCCTGGAACGCATTCCCAGACTCTGTGGTATTCTCTCCTACCTTGGATGTATTCGAAAAACGACTAGATATTGCTCTTAGCCCCCAGCATTTTGTTACCTAAACTCCTCTATTGTGGATTACGCCAAGCATGTTTTCAACAGGATTTATGTATCAAATTGACCTAAGTTGGGGACCATAGTTTACTTTTCTGACTCCTTGCATCAACGATCACTGCACTCCAATGTCTTTCTGAACGTGTACGCACAATAATTTTTTTAATTTTACACTGATGTTAACTAATAAACTATTCATCTAGGCTGACGTTCGATAGACGACCCAGATATATTTGGATTTCATCATATTCACCCCAACCTTCCTACGCGATGTGGCAAGCACTTGCTTTTATCCCGTAATAAATCATTGTTCATTGTTCATAGGTTTTGCATACAAGCTCGCTATTCACACTTCTGAGGTAATGTATAACTAGCTCGATCGATCGATCGCCTGATCGACCATGCTGAGAGGCGATTCCCTTTGTCCCAGCTTTGATCCACCATCACATCATTTACATAACATTTCATTTGGAAGACGAAACAGCGTGAACTGAACGGCGTACACACTATCTCTCCTCAACGTAGCGGCTATAAAAGTTGCACATTGGATCGTGTGAGTAGCTTGGTGAGTCACTCAAAACTCAAATATTTCCCTTTTTCCTTTCCTTTTCACGTATGATTTTGTAACTCTCAGTCCGCCCATCTCATTGCACTTATCAAGCGCCCACCTTTTATGCGTTATTAATCATTACTCATCGTACACGCCGTTGGAACTTTCGTAGTGGTAGTGTAGACAGATGGTATCTACATATAGTGTGCCTTAACCAAAGGGTTAAACACTATTCCTACTATGCGTTTGTGCGTGCATTTATGTCCTATCATGTCGGGTGTTCCTGCTTGAGAAAATCAGAGGTATGTATGCGTGGTATGTCTACGGTGGCCTCGTATATTATTCGGATTTCGAGTCTGTTTTTGCCAGACTAACGCAGCTGTATTTATCGAGGTCCTCGGTCGCATACGGCACGAAAGCTATTGTGGCAAGCTTACAGGGACTATGATTTTACAAATTATATGCAGACTCTTAAATGGCTGGCTAGGCTATTTGGTTTCCATAGATAGTGGGACAGTTTCATTGTTCTGCTAGGTAGTTGTATCACGTCGTCAAAATGCCGTACTTGCAGGATGTCACAAAAATAGACCACCGGGATTAGTAAGCCCATAAAAACTGTGCAACCAAACTCCCACTTATTCATATTTATCATTATTTATCGGAACTTATGGGCATTTACTTATCTCCTCCGGATGAGCAGGAACAGAAGAAGAGAATTCCGTGTCAGAGTATTGCCGGAAATCGAAAACCGAATTTCTTCTCAACGTGCTACCCGAATCTTGATGCGGTTGACCACGATCCGCGTGCGAGTATGTAGATCTCTGTGAATCACTTGGACCTGGTGGCGGGAGCTGCTTGCTGGCTCTGCAAAAATTAAGATGATACACGCTGAAACCGTATGATTTGGGCAGCAACCAGGTTTTCAAATCTGTTTAGGTTCTGCAATCAAGAGTAGTGCATTCAACACAATTACATATCGTCATCACGAAAGTGATTGAGACTGCCACTTTGTAGAATCAACGTTGTGTTTTAGCAGCAATATTTAATGGATCATTTAGATTCTTTTCGTTGAAAATCACAACGAATCGCCCCAAGTACTGAAGGGCTCTCGGGGTAGATAGTGAAGAAATATAAAAAAGGACAAGGTGAATAGGGAACCGCAACTAGACAGTTTAAAATGTGCACGATAGTCTGTCAGCCTTATACATGCCACTAAATCATAGGCCGTGTGAAAAAGATCTTTTCGATCATGTACAATGAAGACTGACTAACAATTGCAGGCTTGCTGGCTTGCTTGAAAGTACGGTATCCGAATTAAGAAACCGCGCAAAAACATTCGTACAACACAAATTATCGACGCAACAAAATGTGGGTGCCAATTATTGTACAATTACAGCCGGAACAGTGGTCAAAGGTAAAACGGCCAAACACCGGAGCAGAGGAACCAACAATTAATTGCACAGTGGGCTTGCGCCGAGCAAGCCCATGCAGCTGTCAAAGGATAAGCTGGGCTGAACTGTTGCCGGCATGTGTTTGCACATTCCTGTGGCCAAACAAAACGCTGTGTGCAAGAAAACTACTGGCTATACTCCAAGAGTTGAGACAAAATGGGTACCGGGGAGCAACTGCTCCTAGTGTTGGTGTGACGATCTTTGTGCAGGGTTTAAGTCGATTCCACTCATGAATTTGATGATGGTCGGATTTAATATGAAGTCAAGTGACTCTTACTAACCAATGCTTTCGCTCAAAAGCACTTCCAAAGTGTGAGCCGTCTCTGGCGTGTTCTCCAAAATTCGCATTGAAGACTTTGGTAAGCTCTCAACTCGAGACTCATCTTGTATCCTTGGACCTTTCAGAAGACTCTCAGCATAAAGCATTTTCAGGTTTTTTGCATTCACCTAGGATACAGTCTTAAGAGAAGTTCATACATCGGTGACTGCCGGTTTTGCTAGCATGTCACCAGAGAAATGCACTAAAGATGGGTTTAACCAATTTGTCCAATCATGGTGAATAATCACTTGTTAAATAAATAAATAAATAAATTGTATATTTCTCGACTATGCGGGAAGCTGTTCTCTATAAGGAACAGATCAAATAATGGTACAACTTTTCCATGACATTTCATCAATACATTTTCAGAGATAAACATGGATGCGATTGCAAATTATGTTACACAGAGTAATCAGAATCGTTCTGCTATTTTTACCTGCCACTGAATCAGGATTCTTTACAATCACATGATAGATATTTGGGCCGAGAGAAAAAAATGTAATGAAAGGGGCTGTTGTCCGAGATGTTATGTGTATGTGTTTCAGAAATTTATTCAGGCACCATGGATACCGTTTTCGAATGCGTTATCTAGGGACTGTGATGTCCCGAACATCTTAATCACGTTTTGGACGGTTAAATGCTTACTAATATCAAACTTAAAATTGCAAAGCGTATAGCATGTTCTGATATCACTTGGAAGTTTGTTCCAAATCTTTGAGTATTGGGTTAGAAAGAAACGTTCTCTGATTCTCGTAGAAAATTTTGGAATCATGACCTTTACCTCTTTGTTACGTATTGGGTATCTGTTGTTTACAGAAATGTGAACACCGCTTTCAGGACTGCGAATTTGACAATTTATGATTCTGTAAAGAAAACATAGGTTCAGCTTCAGTATCCGAAGCCAAACTGGGTCAAATCCAAGTTTATCGCATCGCTCCTTGTATGTCAACTTTGAGGAATATCCACATAGCTTTTTCGTGAAGCATCTCTGGACCCTCTCAAGAGCGTGCTGGTCAGACTTCCGTAGATTAGACTGTATCATTGAACAATATTCACGCTCTATCAACATCCCGATACACTAATCAATATGTCGTGAGAAAACAGTAACCAGGGAGATTAAAGTGAAACCATTCACATTGTGCACATCTACTCATTTGCATTCAACTAAGGAATTTCGGAACCAAGTCTTGTCATGTCGTACCAAGTTGCACCATTTACCTGTCGGACTAATTTTCTTGTGAAATTTAGCTTAGACTGTGACCAATGCCGATCCCGATAAGTTGCTCATGTGTCTGACTCACTTACCTTGAGCACCGGTCACCAGAGACCAATAGTAGTATCCGGAACCCATGCAAGAGTCCTTTTGGAGCAAGATGCTGAGCCCAGAATGTGACTCATCGGGTGATCCTATAACTCCCCTTAACACTTCATGTCAACTGGTAAGTAGCAAGCACTGTTTTGATATTGGCCAAAACTTAGAGAATTTCGCGGGTATTTATGTATATATATTGATTTCCATCGGAAACATGGAGAACAGGATTAGAGTAAAAGAAAAAATAAAACGAGCAATCCTTTTTGTCCATTTTCCCACTGATACTTTTAGCTTTTTTGAAGAGGTTGCTTTCATTGTACAGGGGAGGGGGTCACCACAACAACCAGAAGTACACGACCTCCACTGACTTCGGTTTTTAGCCATGAATTCTAACCTTTCCAACCAGCGACACTCAGCATCTTTGGGATCCCATCCAGGTTGTCGAGAGGAACGAACCGAGGCCAGCTGTTTTGTCAGCTTTTTCATTCTGCTTATCCAAGTTGTTGGCTGTCAATTACACCACCATCTCCAGTCCTGTCCAGCGACCGCGAACAAGACACGACGCGGAAGACGCTGAAGGTGCGTACGCAATAGGTGTCCAAGTCATCTTAGTTGGCGCGGTGAGAAAGCGCATCGAAGGAGTGGCTACCTCAATCCAAGATAAGCTGTTTGACTTCCTCCTTGATTACGTGGTGCAGCCACCACAAACGGACAATGGACCGCAAGCAACGGTTCTCCAAGACAGGCAGTCGGCGCAGGTCATCGGTACGAGCAGGCCAAGTCTCGCAACCACACAACAGTACAGCGCGGACGGCCGCAATATAAATCCTCCCTTTGATTGAAAGTCGGATGTCATGCCTGCGCAATAAATGCCTTAGCCTGGAGAAGGCGAAGCAGCCTCTTGAGATGCGAATTGAAATCTTATTTCTAACAGCCCCACTAGCAGTGATGCAGCTTCCTAGGGAGACAAAATCCTGTACAACTTCCATCGTTTCATTATCGATGGTGAGTGTCGGTAGGGGCATTTGCCTGTCTTGAAAAAGCGCTTTGCACTTGGATGGTAAAAAGTACGCGCCACGCGGTTAAGTGACATTTGTAAGACCTGCAGACCGTCATCAGCGTAATCGAAATCAATCACCCGACTAATTGGGAGGAGCTTAACGGCAGCGTTCAACAAGTCTTCTAAAAACATTTTCGTTAACCTCCTCAATGGCAAAACTGAAGAGGAATGGAGGGATAGGGAATCCTTGTCGAAGCCTACTGGTGACAACAAAGGAAGGCGAAAACTTGCCATAAGCCCGAGGTCAGACCATACAGAGCACGCAGTACGGAAAGGTATTTCTCGAGATTACCATTCCACAACAGACAGCGCCAAAATGCAGCACGAATATCCAGGAACACCACAATTGTTGGCTTTTGATACACATGACGGAGCTCGGGAATCTGGCGGAGTGTGAAAGTCTGAACAATACATCCGCGACTAGGGCGGTACTCAGCCTGTTCTTCTCGCTGTAGTAATTCACGCGTTGGGGATAACCTGTGAAGAATGATGGACACCAGAATCTTGCAAAGGACGGAAACCAAACTTATGCCCCTGTAATTGGAACACTTTGTGCGCATGCCCCTTTTTACTATGCCTAGGACTGTCGACTCACTCCAGTATGATGGAACCTCCTGTTCTGTCCATACTTCTGAGATCAATGCAGTAAGTTTTCGAACCAGTGAATAGCCCACCACCTCTAAATAGAGCAGGAGGTGGAGCATCAGGTACGGGTGCCTTAGGACGCTTTGGGCAGTAGTGTTCCCATCCGCATATCTGAGCGCCAAAAATTTCCGTTACCAAAGTTTTCGAGTGAGCAGATTCAACAATAGCATGAGTTACTTAGAGAATGATAAGGACTCCAATAACACGGTTTGCTTGGTGCACTTACCCTTACCCTTTCTTTATCCGAGTTCTGGTGTCTGTAGTCTCAGTGCCTTCTGTTGACAGTGTAACCGAATGATTTACTGAAACACCTAGTTAACGTTGAAGCTACTTGTCCAGACTACCTCACTTCATACTCACAGAACGTGTTGATCTTTCTGCAACGTCTCTTGTATTTGTACACATTAAGGGTATGCAGCAACACAAAATGGCTGACTATTGGAGAAGCGTCAGTATCACACAAGTGACAAAAAAGGACACTTCGCGTAGTTGCTGCAGCACCATTATATCACGCACCAAGCTCCGATGGCTGGGCCACGTGCTTTACATGGCAGCACACCGACTCCCGCGACGGGCACTGTTTGCGCTTCGGGCGTGCGGTTGGAAGAGGAGGAGGGGAGGCCAAGCGATAACTTGGTCGAGAGAAATGAAAACCCTCGCTTCAAACTTGATGTCTGTTGGTGCATCCGACTGTCTGAGCGGGGTCCTAAGGAAAATGAACACGTTTGGTTGGACACAATTGCTGACATGGCTAGGAGCTGACCCCAATGGCGTTTGTGTTGTGAGTTGCTTTGTCCATCCCCACCCAGTTAGACACTCATGCAATTCCGATCGCACACGAAATGCATAATATAATATTTAACATTATATTACCTGCTTTTGAATATTTTGTATAGTAGGACTTTGCATCTTACCTTTTTGTATTGCGTCATGTTAGCTGACCTGTGTTTCCCGCTCTCAAATAACGTGTAATGATGATGATGGTGATGGGAAAAAAGAACCCAGAAAAGAGCAACAAGTCACATGCAGTTCTGTTGCCTTAAAAGGTCATGCAGAAAATCATTTTTGAAATGATGG